AGGGCAGCCAACATGTACAAAATGGCCAAAAATTGGTGTGGTAAGAATAATCATTACAGGTTGAATTCAAAAAAGGAATGATTGTCCTTTTATTTGTTAAGATTTTTTCAGTCTGTCAGTAGTCTAACATGCAGTGCATTTGCATGCATCTTTTGTTTAGCTGCAGGAAATGCGTTCTCCCAAGCTGCTCGCCTTCACCTTCAGATGCAGAGCAAACACGATGCAGCGACTAACTTCATAGATGCTGGAAATGCCTTCAAAAAAGCAGATCCACAAGGTAATCATTACTCATAACCACCCTTGGGACTATATGACTGCTAAGTTCACGTGTATTTCCTGTTTTACAAGCCTGCTCTACCAGTTCCAGAGGACCATGTACATAAGTCAGTGTCTGATGTCTAAAGAGCTTTAACAACATTATTTACAGCTCTTTTCACTGTGCAGTTAGAAAATGGGAACATGGACAGATTAATGCTTTGTACCGGAGGAAAGTGTAAATAAATAATTACATCAAGCCCAGTGGCCACCATATTTAGGCAGAGGAATCTTTTTAAATGGACTCTTGCCTTTAACCCTCTCACCACTTCTAATTTAGTTGATCTACAAGTTTATACTTACTCTTTTCTTTTTTGTGATGTGAATTCAATGAATAATTGCAGTGACCCAGTTTTATGTCATGTGTCTAAAACATTTTATATTTCTCAACAGAGGCCATAAACTGCCTAAACCGAGCTATTGAGATATACACTGATATGGTGAGTCTACAAACAGGGAAGTCTTGTTTAAAGTATTGAATTTCAAAAGCCTTTTTATGCTACGCAACTGTTGTGCTGATGTTACTCCCCCTTGTTTTGTTTTTTTTCCTCTGCTTTTAGGGGCGCTTCACCATTGCAGCCAAACATCACATCACCATTGCTGAAATATATGAGACAGAGATGGTGGACATCGACAAGGTCAGAATAAATATCTGTGTTTCATGTTTATTATTTTATGCATTAAGGGAACAGTGTGTAGGATTAAGTGGGATTTAGTGGCATCTAGCAGTGAGGATTACAGATTGCAACCAGCTGAAACTTCTCCTAGTTAAAACTCCTTCACTGTTTATTGTTCAAGGTCAAGGTGACTTCATTGTCTCCCTTGGGAGAAATTTATCTTGGATTAAGGGAAACTGCTGCATCAAACCAGACATCACAATACAAAACATTAAATAGAAACAACACAGTAACAACATTAAATATTAAATATGTCACATGTGCAAAACATTTGCTTGTAGAAATTGGAATTACAGGAGGTTTTTACTGTAAGGGAAATTATCCGCAGAGTTCTCCGCCTCTCCAAAACAAACGGAGCAGGTGATTAAAACAGGTAAAAACACTGAATAAAAGAGTTTCACATTACAAATCAGTGTTTCTCCAACTGCCAGCCATGCACCTGCTAATGTGGGCTAACCTTTTTTCTGTGATAACTTCAGATTCAAACGCTCAGGAGGTTTTTACCAGAAGCTGAATTATCCACAGAAGTCTCTAATCCTCCAAAACTAACAGACCTAGTGTTTCAAACCACTAAACATAGAATAAAGCAGGTGATTATACACTGAAGAAAACATACTTATTATATTTAATTTCTACTGATATATCCCCCTAAATCTGACACACACTGAACTTTAATTCAAGGGCAAATTCTTGCTTCTAATTTAACAGTTAGTAGTCTCTGTTGTTTAAACCTTCAGATCATCTCTTGGGGAAAACTCTGTTTATGCCTTATGTCCAATTTCCATTCCAGGCCATTGCTCATTATGAGCAGGCAGCAGATTATTACAAAGGTGAAGAATCCACCAGGTAACTATTTTGGATGAGTAATATTCTCTTTTGTTTGCTTTTGGGGTGTGGTGTTTTATAGGCTTTTAAAAAAGTAATTAATACAGTTTCTTTTCCTTTTACACTTTTGTTTTATGATTGTGCAGCTATGTAACTTAATGGTCTTTGAGCCTTGATGTGTGTGAATACATGATGTGGACTTAGAAGCCTCTCAATTTTCCTTTGCAGTTCCGCAAACAAGTGCCTTCTGAAAGTAGCAACCTACGCAGCTCAGCTGGAGCAGTACCCAAAAGCGATTGAGATCTATGAACAGGTGAGATAAGGAAAGCTCATCAGTGGCCTTTATGTTACCAGTGGCTTTTGTGGGCTGTGGTACCATAATAAATGTGAATTGTACTTTGTGATTTTTAGGTTGGAACCCACGCAATGGACAGTACGCTCCTGAAATACAGTGCCAAGGATCACTTCTTCAAGGCAGCACTCTGTCACTTCTGTGTAGACATGCTGAATGCAAAAGTAAGCCTAACACTTGATTCTGTGTCCATGTACAGCAAATGTAACATGAGCCCACTGTCCTAATGTTCATTCTCTTATCACCCAGCTCGCTGTGCAGAAGTACGAAGAAATGTTTCCGGCCTTTTCAGACTCTCGAGAATGCAAGCTGTTGAAGGTAGGCTTTGGTGTTAGTTTGGCTCTGAAATCAACAAATGAACAAAAACACTGAATAATCCTCTCGATATAAAATGGCAAGGCAGATGGGCAAAACACCACTCATCTTGGTACAGTTAAAGTCTGCCCTCAACAGTTCTGATTAGAGTAAGAAAGACATGCTGGTGTTTACATACTGTAGAAGTAATCACAAATGTTTGTCTGTTTTTCTTATAAGACGGAAAAATACAAATGTTCACCTTCTGAATTCAAGTTTCTCTCTGTCTCACCAAACTAAGACTAACTTAATTGCTTTGTTAACTCATTGTTAAATACACTTCACTTCAACCTCACACAAACAAAACTCACCTAAACTGTCTTGGTTCGTCTGTCCATTTTTCCAACAATCACCAACTCTGGTTTGGGCGAAATAAACCATTCATTCACAGAATTAGATGTGAAAATATGCTGGCTCTGCACACTCTTCTTTCCCCCTTGTCTCTCTCTGCCGTTGCTGGCCAGCTTTTTACTGGTGCTGTAACATTATTCCCACCATTCATAGGGTGCATCCCAAGGCTCTTATTTGATATTTCCTCGCTCCTCTAAACTCGCTTGAACCAGAAGACGTTCTGGTGTCTCATCTTTAAAGCTGTCCAAAAGCTCTTATTTCTGCTCTAAGGAGTGAGGAGGGATCTCTGAGGAAGAGATCCCCCCCAATTCGATATCAGTTATTGATATAATGCTGCAGCTGATCGGACTGACCTGATACATTTTAAAAACCTTTGTATATAGTGATACCAAGATACTGTCCAAGCCTTCTTCCGGGCATGCAGTGCATTATAGCCTGTTGTTATGGCATCTCAAGTTATTGTTTTTTACAATCAGAGTGTATTTTTATCTATAGGCAGCCTTTCTGACATACAGCATTATTGTTTTTACCTAATCAGAAACTTCTAGATGCCTATGAAGAACAGAACGTGGATGCCTATACTGACTCGGTGAGTGGACAGTTTGACTACAAAATTATTATCTGAGTGAAGTGTTGGGATACCAGTAAAAAATTAAAGCTAGGGAGTCTTTATAGATGTATTTGAATCAGAATGTGTATTTCTTGGACCTGATTGATTAATATCTGTTTATTACAGGTGTGCATTAAAAAAACAGATGTCCAAATATTTCTTTTGGCTGTTAATTATATATTGAGTAATAAAAAAACAGTACAAAAATGCCACACTGTATGATGTGACTTTTACTGTTTGGGGTTTTTGGTAACAGTTACTGCTCATTTCTCAGGTGAAGGAATTTGACACCATCTCACGGTTGGACCAGTGGCTCACCACCATGCTTCTCCGCATCAAGAAGACCATACAGGACGACGAGAGTGACCTTCGCTGACTTCCCTACCTGCTTGTGACCTCAAGCCCTCAACAAGCAACATGCATCCTTCTTTTTTGCCTCAAGCCTCTCACATCCATTCTAGCAGCAATCTTAACCGTTTGACCACTATCCCCTTATATTCCCTCACAGACACTGTTTCTGTCCCATCATGTGCAGTATTTCTTCCTTTCCTTTTTAATCATCTCAACTTAATGTTCCAAAAATTGTGCTATGAACATTATTTTCCCCAGTGTGCACACAGCACACAGTATATTAGTTGTATATTGTTATGATCCGGGTATTGGCCCAACATTAATTAAAATATTCATAATGGCTGCAATACCAAATACTCATACCAGCACACTAATGTAATAAAGGTTTTATTTTATTATTCTTGTAATGAAATGGATGAGAGGATGCTAATTTACAAACAAAAGTTTTCCCATAATGTGCTCTAGAGTCAACTTAACTGACCAAAATGCCAATTCAGACTAAAGCACTCACATTGTTTTTTTTGGTCCTTTGGAGTGCTCAGTATACTGTAGGTCACATAAGGGCACCTCTAATTAAACAGCACTTCATCTCAGCTGCAGAGCTCCTCTCCAAGCAGAGGCCAAGAGTATCTGAGGTTATTCCACGGCAAATACCCCCTTTGCCTTACGCTGCGAAATTCTCAGGATGTGAACAGCTAGATTTGATGAAAGAAGAAAACATTGATGCTTTTAGACGTGTTCTCAGTTCATTTACTAACTGTTTTGGGGATTTCCATTTAAAGTGCTTTTATTTTATGAATGAAGGTGAAAGGAGCTCATCACCTTTGTGAACATTTGCATGGTTTGATAAGGATGAGAAAACTAGAGCAGCCGCTTTCCACTGTATAGGAGTTATTTCTCAAGTGTGAGTGTGTTTTTGTTTTTGTTTTTTTTGTTTTTTGTGATTGATTTTTATTTTTTTTTTCTGTCATAAATAACCAGGCTGAGAAAAAGCCTGCACGAGATGCAATACATTGAAGAAAAAGGAGCTTTACTGATCTGAACACTGTGCTCATGTACCCTCCTGGTGATTTTGTCAAGAGACAATTGGTCTTAAATAATTTGTACATCAGTGATGTTTCCTGTCAAACGTTTGAATAAACCTGTCTGAGACATTCAGCATCCTGGGCGTGGCCTCCACCTGCCTGCAGTGCTGTGTGAACTGATCGCCTGATCTTATAAACGGACCTGCACCTGTATGTACTTACATTGCCTTTTCTGCTTGACGGGCGATCATCTTGGACTTAGTAAGTGGTTTCCAAAACTTGCATGTGGAATTGTTATCTTCTTTGTGATTCTTCTAACGCCAGGTAAAGGCTCTCACCTGCCGGTGTCCGGCTTTGTAACGGTGTGCTTGTTTGCAACCTGTGGACAGGCTTATCGAATTTTGAATCGAGTCGCGCTTTAATTAAATCCGTTAAATGAAATCCGTCGTGCGTATTTTAGACCTATACTTTGGCAAAGATGCAATATAAGGTGTCCATATGCGTTTTCATGTTTCCCTTCCTATGCATAAGTTAATATATTTCAGGTGTTTTGCTAATTTACTGTAACGCTGTTAAATTGAAGCCCTCAGGACTTAACTGCTTTGTTTGTGCAAAGCCGGTTTGCTTCTAATTAAACACTGGGGGGAAAACTGCTCAGGTGCGTCCCGATAGAGCTCAGCTGCAGGCCATCTTATTTTCAAGACTATATCACCTGCGACAAATTAAGACACCACCAGGACATTTAAATGTAAATTTTAAATACTCTCTGCGAGAGGCAGAATCACTGAGAGCAAGCTCAGCTGGGAAATATGTTGTGTCATACCATGTATCANATATATAATTTTTATATTATATTTTTTATTGACTTGACATCACATCACACTGCCTTTTTATTTACTCCTTCACTTAATGAGATTTTTATCTTTAAAATGTGTGTCTGATTTTGTAGTATTACATCATTATTGTTTCTCTAATAATTTATTTACCTATTATTATATTCAATTATAGCTGATTGAATTCACTGTCTTTAAGTGTAATTGTGCTTTAGCAACACAAAAAATGGTATGCCAATAAAGCTTATTAAATTGAGTTGAAATTGATAAGCACTGACCACAAAGAGATGCAAAGGAATGGTAAAGAGACACAAAATAACTACAAAGAAGAGAAACAAAATGTTCAAAAGACACAAACAAGAAGAGACACAAAACTACAAAAACATGAATAACGCTACAAAGAGATGTAAGAAATAACAATAAAAGTGACAAAATAACCACAGAGTCTATGTGTCTTGCTCTTATGGAGGAAACATAGCAGGGCATTTTGCATAGCTGTGTCCAGAGGCCCATTGTCTCGAAATCCTTTCTTAGCATTGCAAACTGTGATGATTTTCAAAGGGCAATAATATAAAATAACCATACTCTTACTAACTTCAATATGTACATCCCTGTGTATTATTTGGTGAACAGGTATTCATCTATTTTATCAGCTCTGTAAGTGGGGTTTGACAAAATAACAAGAATACCTGGCAGTATATTTAACAGTTTGCAATGAATACTAATTGAAGCTGATAGTTATTTCTATTAATGTCCAAGGCTGTAAGGTTTGCAATTTGGTTATTTACATTAAGGTGTCCTGTTGCCTGTATACCTCTGTTGGCAGGTATATCCAGAACATCACCTGAAGACAATAACACACCAGGTCCCGGGACCATCTCCCCTGAAAGATGATCTGTTTCTAGAACAACGCACCACACAGCTTGGTTTACTTACCTCGAGCCAATGAGACGTTTTCATACCTTGAGTGCTTTGGTTCTCCTTGTCACTTTATTTCTGATCTTCTACTCAACCCTACACTTAGAGGTGACCTACAGTCGCAGAGCAGCACCAGAGGACCACCTCAAGCATGTCAGCCTCCAGGCCCACGACAGAAAAACACCATCCTCCAAGCAGGAGAGCTTCACTACACCTCACCCCAATGTCCACAATGTGTCTGTTTCTGATGGCCTCAGACAAACCATCCCTCAAAATGGAGCGTACTGGAACCGCCTTTTGCGCTCGTCCCTCAGGAATCTGGACAAGGGAGATAATCCTTTTGGACATGACTCTGATTGGTCTGGCTGCAGGGAGACAAATCTAGAGCTTCTGCAAACAAATGTGCATGACTTCACCTCCTATTTTGCCTTATTCCAGGACTTTTTGCAGGGCATGAACTGCAGGTCCCCTCCAGTTCTGCTCAATCAACCCAACAAGTGCTTCTCTAAAGGGAAAGGAGACAACCGGACCTTCCTGCTTATTGCCATTAAGTCAAGTCCTGGAAACTTTGAGCGAAGACAGGCGGTGCGGGAGACCTGGGGACGAGAGGGGGTGTATCAGAGTGGACTGAGAGTGCGCACTGTGTTCCTAGTGGGAAGCTCCCCACTTGAGGACCCTGACCTCAGCCCACTGCTGTCATTTGAAGCAAGATACTTTGAGGACATCCTGCAGTGGGACTTTCATGAATCTTTCTTGAATCTGACGCTCAAAGTGAACACATTCCTCCAGTGGGCACTGAAATACTGTCCTCATGCCTCCTTTGTTTTTAGTGGAGATGATGATGTATTTGTTAACACACCCGCATTAATCAGCTACCTGCACTCTCTGGAGCCTTCGAAAGCCTCTCGGCTGTATGTTGGACATGTCATAAGCACAGCAAATCCCCTCAGGGACCCCAAAAGCAAATACTACATTCCTCTGAGTTTCTATGAAGGCCCATACCCTGCTTATGCTGGTGGAGGTGGTTTCCTTATCTCTGGAGCATTGCTGCAACCCTTTCATTCAGTTTCACGCATTATTCCTTTCTTCCCCATCGACGACGTCTATGCTGGGATGTGCTTGAAGGCTATGGGGGTTTCTCCGGAGGCAAACGCAGGCTTTCAGACATTTGACATCAAGGAGGAGGATCGTGAGAATCTGTGTGTGCATAAAGATCTGATTCTGATTCACCAGCGCTCTCCTCAACAGGTGAAGAAGTTGTGGAGGGGTATTCACAGCCCCTTGCTGACTTGTTGAATAGGACTGGTAAGCAAAAGATACCGCGATTTAAAAGAAGAGAGGAAAGACTGACTGCAGCAACATGCTGAGGCCATGGCTTATTTACTTCCATCGTTGTCCCTTTCACTGTCCTTTTTCAAGATGATGCAGCAAGAGGAAGTGTAATTGAGGGTTTCATACAGTCTGCTGTTGACATCTGGCATGGACTCAAACTTGTAGCATGAACAAATGCAGAGTAGTTCATTTATAATGGAAATATGAGCATAGTGGGTCAAGATATTTCACTGCCAAGTCAGACTGAACACCTTTTTCCTTTTGTTCTACTGAATTCAAATAAAAATAATTCAACCAAGACAACTGAAAGCTCCATAGTTTATTTTCCACAAAACACAAAACAGACACAAGCGTACAGTTCTGGGATTTATAATAGTGTAACAGCATTGCAGCATACAAACCCATCTAAAATTTGGGTGTGTATACTAAAAAACAATTCGTATAGGAAAGTTAGTCAGTCACCTCAATGATACACAAGGAAACCTGTTAGAACCATGATCACTGGAGAGGACAGTTGCAGGTGAGAGAACAAACACAACAGGAGTAAACTTCCACCGTTTATTGCTCAGATTGTACATTTCTTTTGCATTACAAATGCACCATTTGCTGCACTTTAAAGAAGAACAGGGGTGACCTTGGAATTACTGAGACACAAGTGTGATTTAGCATTTTAGAGGAGCTTTACTACTGACAGAAAATCTATTAACTTAAGGCACCAAACCCAGAGGCATGAAGTACAATATTTTCGAAAGCACAATCTTTCTCCTCTTCCTTAGCTGTGCAGAAAGAAATGACACACTGTATATCAAAACTATATTTTTATGAATACAGTAAGGGTGTAAAGGTGTGCAACAGTTTAGTCTCAATTCTCACCCACTCCTACATTAAGTCACCAAATAGCAACTCATTCCATCCTATGAACGCAGTTATTTATCATAAAGGTCAAGTGGGTAGTGCTCTTTGTATTGGCTCACGTGCCTCCGCATGGATTCTCTCTGCTTGCTCAGTTGGGATGTCATCTCCTGGTACACATCAGTAAACAGCAGCTCAGGATTCGGTTTAAGGCGTTTCTCGGCCCCCTCGAACGCCTCCATCACCGTCTTGCGAGATTTCTTCCGCCAGCTCCTCTCATCGTCCTCGCTCCACCAACCTCGGGCCGCCATGTAATGTCTCAGCCTCGAGATGGGATGGTCCTGCTTGTCCCAGTAGTTCACTTCATCCACCGAACGGTAAGCTGAGCTGTCGTCACTGGTGCTGTGGTGTCCAATTCTAGAGAATGAAAAGAAGTATTCTTCCTCAATTGACTTAAACATTTTAGCCGTGAGCATGTTTTCTACAACCTTCCATAAAATGTTCTCCTCAAAAAGCATTTTGTTAGAAATGCAACCCATTCAAATCCTGTCACTCCATCCACTCCTTATGATTTAATATTGGACTTTCCTAAAAATCAATAAAAGTAAAAAGTACTCCCTAGCGGTGTCAGTATCTGCAGAGAACCTGCCCTCTGCCTGTATCTTCTTATTTTGGTTTGGTCAGGGCATTTATGGGTGTCAACCTTTGGGGCAGTGGTTTGTAGTCTCCAGCCAATAGCAATGGTAGGTGGGTACTTAAAAAAATGTAGCAACCAGGATATACCATTGTCTCTGTCTCCCTCCTTTTGTTCTGTGTGTTTGATCGAGGTTGTTAAATAACTTAATAAACTAAACTAAAATAGTTAATCATTATAATCGGGACTAACAATTCAGTGCATCAAGCAACTGTTGTAATGACCTCAGTCTGAATGGTCACACATCACTCCAACATCAACTAACCTGTAGGTCATTGCCTCAATAAGGAAGGGCTGGTTCTCAGCCACAGCCCTGCGGCGTGCCTCTTTTGTAGCATTGTACACAGCAAACACATCATTACCATCAACACGGATGGACAGCATGCCATAACCCGGACCACGAGCAGCTGTTCAATCAGAAAAAATTAAACATGTTCATAAGAGCAGCTGAGGGTTTCATATCAGACACTGCATACGACCACACTTAGATTTCTTACCAATGCCATCTCCCCTATACTGCTCATTGGTGGGGGTAGAGATGGCATAGCCGTTATTACGACAGAAGAATATCAGTGGGCACTCAAGGGTGGCGGAAAAGTTGAAGCCAGCGTGTGCATCCCCTTCGCTGGCGGCTCCCTCTCCGAAGTAACAGATTACAACACGGTTGAGGTTTTCTCGCTTGACTGCGTATGCAGCTCCAGCCGCTGAAACAGACACATCAGGCATGAATATATGTTTCCAAGTGTATGTACCTACAGATCAGACAACACATAGATGTACAGCCTACCCTGAGGAATCTGAGTGGCCAAGGGAGAGGAGATGGTGACAAAGTTCAGATCTTTGGAGCCGTAGTGGACAGGCATCTGCCGGCCCTTGCCAAGGTCATCTGCGTTGCCGTAGCACTGAGCCATGAACATCTCCAGAGGAAAACCACGGTACATCAGCACTCCTGCAGGGCAGCATAGGAATTTTAAGACTGTTACTTACAAGACATAAAAACCTGGAAAACTGATGGTTATTATACTGAATGGACATGCAGGGGGGATGTGAGCCAAAAGGTTGGAGGGTAGATGTTATTCTAGAGGTTATATGGATGGTGAAAATGCAGTTGGAAGAGTGATGCAGTGGTTATGAGAGGACTACAGAGGGTGAGACTGCATTCAAGGGGGTGTATAGTGGCAGGAGAGCATACATAGGGTGAGACAAGTTGGGGGGGTTAAGATATTAGATAAATGTAAGTTGTTGAAGATACAGGTCTATTTCTAGATGCACTTTAGATGTTTATATTTGAGTTGTAAAGAACATTTGCTGCTGACTCTACATAATGTGATCTACAGTTAAGGACAGATTTTCCGAATGACTGAACAACTGAATGCAGACTGACCGAAGTCAACGTGGGTGTGTTGCTGACTGAATGAAGCATTGTTGACTTCACAAGTCACATGATGATTGAACACCAAAGCAATCACTGGCACATCTATTTAGACCAAACTGCCTATCAAGCTTGGAGTAGAGCTGTTATGTTTGGTACAACATTACTACTGACACTGACCATCTTATAATGTACGTTCCAGAGTGCAATGATCGTAACAACTACTTCAACAATAAGATGTAACAAAATTAAGGTAAGTCAATTGCTTTAATCACTATCAAAACTTAAAAAGTAAACCCTGTATCTAAAAAGGAACAATGTCAGGTAAAAACCGCATGTTGTCTGATTCTTACCAGCTTCTCTGTATTGACCAAAGACCAAGTCGCTTGGGTCCAGAGCAGCAGCACTACCAATATGTGTCCCCTCCTCACCATAGTTGGTCATGTAAAAAGAGATCCGACCCTGAAACATCAACAAAGCTACACACCTTTACAACATTCTTCAATAACTGTTAAACCAGGAAATGCAACAACAACAACAATAAAAAAACCATACCTGTCTCTGAGACTCATAAAGAATGCGATCCATTGTGTTTAGCATAGTCATCTTCTGATAAAAGTTTAAAACTGTCTCTTTGGAGAGCTGAGCAGGAAACAAACACACAAAACCACCAACAAATTAACTTTGGCCCAGCAGAGCATGTCGGGAGGAGAGGAGGTCATAGTGCCACTTTTAATAACCAGGGGTGCAGGCAGGCTGACTGTACCTGAGGGTCTTGAGAGGGGTTAATGATGTTGCCCTGCCTGTCCATCACCCGGTACACTGGGATCCCAGAGATGACATTGGGCTGGATGAACTCAAGCTGATCCACAAACTCGGCCGAGGCTCCAGGGAACTGTGGCTTTTCCAGAGATGAGTCAAAGGGCTGCTGTCGGTGCACAGCCTGAAAGATTGAATACAAGCATTAATTATTAATAACATCACTGTGGCTGTGGGCAAAGCAATGCCCTCTCTCAAATACACAACACAAAAGGGGGATTCATCTTTCTCTTAATGATTACATCCAAAGAAAAAACTGCAGCTGCTTTGCTGCAACTGAATGGGAAACATGTATGTCATATTACTGAAGGTGATTTTACTGGAATATGACCACATTTCCTGTTTAAAAACCTGTTAGTGCAAGAGCTGTGAATCACAGATTGTGTGTATTGTGATTTAACATGTACCGGGGGATTTGATGGATACTGCATTTTCAAGAATTTACAGCACCATGTCTTTGTAACGATAAACAATTATGGATGTATATATAAAATTCATGCATTATTTTAGCATTATTATAATTTTTTTTTTGGGGGGGGGGTGATAAAAATGTGGTCTGGTGAGTGTCAAACCTTTTACTAGTATCATTTTTTTTGTATATAAATTTGCTGATGCTGTCCCTGGGGCTGTCACATTTTTGCCATTTTTTCAGCCTCATTAGTTTCCATTACAAGACTCTCAATGGCTGAGCGATTTTAGTATCATTATTCATATTGGCAAAGTAACTATATCTAACTAAAGCTATTAAGTAAATGTAGTGGAGTAAAAACTGTAAAAGTACCTTTTTGACTGCAGTGATTACTGATTATCGCACTGTGACACTGCAGTTATGACTCAATACTGCATGTATGGATAGGAAGGTGAAACATGTTTTGATTTTAAACGACTCAGAGACTGATTAACAGTAAGCCGTGAATACCAGAATGTGCACTTTTATTTAATGGGAGCTGACAACAACAGTTTTAATGTCACCTTCTCCCCGTATCACATTTGTGTTATTAAGATACTACTAGTACATGTTGATCTTGATGACGGAAGTTTCCTCCTCACCGCCCCTTTGTTCGACCAATAGAAATGTAGCCTGCTAAAACATTAGCCGGCTAGCCAGCTAGCAACCTAAGCTTCGGAGTCACAACAGCAAAATACAAGGTGCACCAGTGACACTCAAGCTGCTGATTAGTTTTTGAACATATATATTTACACACATATGGATAGCTTCAGTTTGAACTAATAATGGTGCGTTGGAGAATTGTTATATATCTAATACCACCATAGCTTTTGCAAGGTTGTCAGGTTGTCTAAGCTAGCTGGCTCACAACCCATCGCGATAACTGAATAAGTCAAGCAACGCGTTCCTGCGAATCCATGATACAAACATATCTAATCCTGACCTAAACATGACTTTTTTTTAAAAAAAATTCATACACGCACTTGACTATCTCATTGCTGATGATTTAACCTGACATCTCAGCTTTTATTATTAGGCAAAAATCGGACCACTTCTTCCAACAACCCTGTCGCTGCTAAAGCGACCCTGTTTAGCTAATGCTGGCCATCTAGCGAAATAAATAACTCACAGCGATGTTGCACGTTATTGCTTTAACTTACACCGACTCTGAAGGCTCTGTGTTGAAGCAGCCTCGACGCCTTCAGTCCTGCCGTCTGACGAACAGCATGGAAACAGAGTCCATACATTTTGTTCATACTCCTCACAGCCGCCATCGGGACAGTCCACCGTAGTTGGCTTGGGTGCTAGCTTGTACGCAGTGTTAAACACTCCTTAAAATGTGGAAAAATATGCAATAATCACTGTTTGATCGCTTTTCACTCCGCAACACTGCTGTCCCCTTCCACAATCACGCTTGCCAGGTCGAACCAGCGCGTCGTCAACCACAACAATTTTAACATCCGGTGAACCTTCAAAATAAGAGTCAAAGTGACCTACAATACCATACTGAAAATGACGTCTGTAGACAGCGAGGGAACCGACGGTGTAATTAGATCTTTTACTTAAGTAAAAGTAACAATACCACAGTGTAGAAATACACTGTTAGAAGAACAACTCGTGCATTCAATTTTCTTCTTGAGTAAATGCACAAATGTATTAGCATGACAATATACTTAAAGTACCGGAAGTAAATGTACCCATTGTGCAGAATGGCTCGTTTCAGCGTTATAATATTATAGAAGTTATTATTATTATTATTATTATTATTATTATTATTGTTGTTGTTATATCAGCAATTAATACACGTAAGAGCATTTTAATGTTGTAGTTTGTCAATGTGGAGAGTTATAGATATTTTGTATACTAGTGGACACAAAGTAGTAAATACTTCATCATATCAAATAAGCATGTTGTTTTGTAAAGTAAAAAGCAACTAGTAACTATAACTGTCAAATAAATGTAGTAAAATGAAAATTACAATATTTCCCTCTGATATTTAGTGATGTATAAGTATTAAGTAGCAGAAACCTAAATACTCAAGTAAAGTACAAGTGTGGCAAACTGTACTTAGGTAGAGTCCTTGAGTAAATGTGCTCAGTTACATTCCACCATTGTATCTTATGTCTTACTGTAATGATTTTCTTCAACATATTTGCTGTGCAATTTCGGCTTGCTTTTTTTTTTTTTTTTTTTTTTTTAAACTACAGGGGCATAATAAAAAATGCTGCATATGGCTAAAGGGGCTTAAATGCACAACATATTAGTTTCATTTTTTTCGTTTTTACTCTTAGTTTGAAGGCAAAGCAGACCTCTTCCTGTATAATCATACTTAGCTAATCAAGGAATCATTTGATACCTGAAGCCGTCCAACGTGTTTTTGTGCTATTACACCCGATACCCTGTTCCGCATTGCTCTGTCACTTACAAAGACTGTTTGTCTACCGACCGTCTTCATCTTCTACAATCTGTCAGAGTCCTGCAGCGATACAGCATAAACATGTCTTGAATACATTTTCTTTCTGTGTCAGTTTAAATTTGTTTCTTTCTTTCTCACTCAGTGTTGACACATTCATTGTCAATACTTTGACCTGTAGACTCCCTTAATGGAATATTCAGTCTGTGTAATTTTTAATTTAATTTTTATATATTTTATTGAATTCAACTTTTTCACTCCGTTGTCATTAACACAATGGTCCGAAATACACAGACATGCACAAACAGGACCTATACATGCACAAAGTGGAGAGATGTCAGAGTCAGGTACCCTGAGCAGCTGGGGGGTTCAGTGCCTTGCTTAAGGGCACTGGCAGTGCCCAGGAGATGAACTGGCACCTCTCCAGCCACCAGTCCACACTCCGCATTTGGTCCGGACGGGGACTTGAGCTGGCGACCCTCCGGTTCCCAACCCAGGTCCCTATGGACTGAGCTACTGCCGCCCCTAACATACTTTGGCTGAAACAAATTGGGGACATGCTATTGTGCCTGTCCTGTGTCATTCATTTGTAAAGACATACTACCTGTTAAGATGTTTGTGTTAAGATCTCAAGTCCAGCATACAGTATGAAGCCCAGTTTGGGAAACTCTCATTGGTTGGGTACCATTAGGCATGAACTGATTGGAGTACCAATATCACTTTGTACTTGTGAAGACTGGTGCTAAACCAGGGTTGGAAGTCGGTGCTAGAATTTCCTACTCAACCAGATGATTACAAAACAGAAATAAAAATGTATTGTGGTAAGAACCACTGAATGATTACTGCATTAAGAGCATAATAAGGTCATATTGAGGTTCAAAGAGAGCAAACTCAAATGACAACTCACTAAAAGTATAAGAAAAGAAGCCATTTTTATAGTTACCCACATTTTGTACATGATCCTTGTGAAAAATATTTATTTTTGCTTGTATGACCACATCTAAAAAATATTCTATTTACATAAGAAAATGTTTCTACTCCTGGTTGACATTAGGTATATCATAATAATATCCTATCACTATTAACACAGCAGCACAGTGAATGATGTCCTGTACTTGAACCCATACCTCATAAATAAAATGATTTTAGCTTTGCTAAATTTTTGATTTTAACAATTTTTCTGGAGAAAAATCTGCATATCCGCCTGTTCGGGTAGAATGTGTGACCTCTCTCGGCTGATTGTGTCCCCTGCTGTGGAAAACACTCTCTCACGAGGAGTAGACGATGCTTGGATACAAAGGTATGAGTTGGAGAGTTGAGACAGGAGAGGCAGTGAGTCTCGTCTCCTCCACCACCAGGCCAGAGCATCCTCTGATGTGGGCACAGCAGGCAGGCTTCTGTACAGCTGTATTTCTTGCTGGACTCGTTCAGCTATTGGTGTCTTTTCTGCTTCTGTGATGCTCTTCAGAGCTCTGTCCTCATCTTCAAAAAGCTCCTCCAGGCCAGTCAGCCTCTGCCTTTTGGGATACAGAGATTGGCATATGGAAATGAAGCAAACAAGATAAGTGTTAGACGATACTACTAGGATTAGGTACAACAAATGTTTGTGTCATGTAGATGACATTACCTCATCTGAATACTTGTTTTGCTCAGATACATCCTCAGCATCTCTGTCCTCATGCCAAAGTTTGTGTTCCTCCTGATTTGACACCTAAAGAAAATATTTATTCATGGATAAGTTAAAAACCAGACAAAAGCCAGCGACCTGAGATTTTAGTTTACAGAGAGAAATTAATCTTAACTACTTCAACTGAGAGTGTATGAGATAGCTGACAGCAGGAAGAGACTTTGAACCTATCGTACAGGGTAGAATGAGTGAGTACACATGTAATAACAGCATCTATTAATAGGACAAGTGTAACACTGGAAAGGAAAAGAGAATATTGTACCTTTGCTGAGGTTGTAACCGCAGCATTTTGCACTCTGTGCCAAATCTCATCTGAGTCGATTCTGTTCTTGAACCTTGGATCCATGGCGCTCGACTCCTGTAGGAACTTCCAAGTATCATCATCTTGAAATAAAGCATACAGACTCTGTCAAAGAAATTGTAAAAAAAAAAAAAAAAGTGTGTAATGAAAACAGGCTCACTGGTAATACTGTACCAGTGAGCCTGTTTTCATTACACACTTTTTTTTTTTTTTTTTTTTTTACAATTTTTTTACAATTTTTCTATAGAATCATTTTGGCTAAACTTTCATTCTATCTCTTTAAAACTTAAACTCAGTTGCCAGTTCATCTGGTACACCTTGCTCAAACTCTTTTAAGAAATCCGATACAAATATTTAGATATTCTTTAATGTTCTCTGGTAGAAACTTTTGTTTAAGAGAGTTGTTGATTCAACTTCATGACCATTTTGGAGGATGCAGTTTGTGGTGTTGTCAAACTGCTGCATTAAACACAGAGGTGTTTCTGTTGTTAAGCTCAAGGGTTCTCAACCTTATTGTAAGTTAGCTATTTGAGCCTACCTTCAATGGTGGACAAAATATTAGACACACGTGCAATAACTAGGATTGCCCAGAAGGTGTCGCCATTTTGACTGTATCAAAGGCTGCAAAAACTTATGTTTCATGATAATTTATGGCATCAGAAAGCTTTGATTTTCCTGTCACTAGTCTTGAATTTTTTTAAAAATCTAATTTGACTTTTTTTTCCCAGTTTGTTCACAACTTTTCCAGCAGCTGTCAAGTCTCCCTTGGAGACTAGAAACATATAAACACATTTTTATACTCTTCTCTACATAGAAGAATGATGCTTCATAGAGAATTTGACAAGACAACAAAACAAAACTAGAGCTGAAATAATTTTATTAATTGATTGGTCTATCGATAGAAAATAAATCTGAAACCATATTTATAATCACTTACTCTTTCAAGCAAAAATGCCAGTAGTTCTTTATAGTGGGGCGGCTTAGCTCAGTTTATCACAACAATCGTTTATTTTGTGATGAAAGCACAAAATTTGGTACATGTGTTGGTGGATATATTTCAAACAAATCTGGATACTGGGGCATCGCAAAAACGCAGAACCAGCACCTGCACCAAGGTAGATGACGCAAGAAGGAAGCTCTTTCCACGGAAAAACTCAGTACAGCAGTGCTGGTTCTATCAAAGAGAAGTATGACAGACCTCTCAATAATGCTCATTGCATCATCTGGGATGTCCTTTGGTCCACTTGCCAGCGTCAGTAGTGCATCTGTCAGTTCTGGCAGCGACTTCCATGTTGACCATGCTGCCTTCTTTCCATGTCCAGCAAAGCTGGATATGTTGTCACAGCCTGTCAAATCATGGAACATTGGAAGGGCACATGACATCTCTGGTCCGAGACATGCAGCCATTTGGTGGGCTGCAAGATAGCGAAAGCTCTTGCCTGTTCCGAATGAAACATATTTTTCACTTTAACTGGTCTCTAAATTATATTTGTGGTGCTGAAAACATGGTAACAGCAGCTTGGGGGGTGACCAAAGTGTTCTATTCCAGTATATTAAGCTATAAATGTACCAAATTTGGCGCTTTTATAGCAAAAATTAACAATTTTTATTTTTCTATGCCGCCCAATTTATAAGTTTGTTAGCAGAATTATACAAAAACTGCCTGACCGATTTTCACAAAATTCGGTGGAGGGATGTAACACATGCCAACTTAAAATACATTAAATTTTGTTGTTGATCCAACTCAGGGGGCGTGTCCATGGGCCGCCCACATGTGCCCGCCCATTCACCTCCATTCATTTTTTGGATGAGGATTATGTGAAAACTTTCCAACCGATTTTCACAAAACTTGGTGGAGGCAAGTAGCATGGTC